ATGAATGAAAGAATTAAAAGGGAGGGAACGAGAGAAAGAAAGAAGGACAGAAAGAATGAAAGAATGAAAAATTAAAAGAGAAAAAAGAAAGAAAGAAAGAAAGAAAGAGAGAAAGAAGAAGAAAGAAAAAGAGAGAGAGTCAGAAAGAGAGAGAAAGGAAGACGGAGAGAAAGAGAGGAGGAAGGAAGGAAGCGGAAAAGAAAGAAGGTGGACATGATTTTGGATTCTGACAAACCTTCAAACACATCAGCTGACAGATGCTGATCGTCACAGGGAAAAGCATGTATATTGCAATCAGTAACATGAGTGAATCCATGAGCATGCAAACATAGCAAGCAAACAGTTTCACACAATGAAACAAACCCCATAGGAATCCAAGTACGACTATCTGTGTCAGTAGTGAGCGGCAATATGCAGCACTGAAAAGAGATGACTAGCATCAAGGTCTGAGAGGAAAGCTTTCAGAGGGCGGCTGTGCATGGCTTGTGGCATGGTATGCAGAATTATGCGGTAAAGCTCAGCCTTTTGCACAGGAAGTTAGTTTCTGCCTTCGCAGCCCATCACTCCAACAACAGAATCTTCATTAAATGTGCTTCAGATTGCCTCCTTATACACATTAACTCTGTATTATCTGGTCAGTTCTGGGAATCTGCGCCATACTTATGACTGTGTTTCACGAGTATGCAACACATAGCCACATCCCTCCACCCATTATCCACTTTTTTCCGTAGTTCACCATCGGCGACAGTATGGCGGGTGACGGCAGTGGCCGGGCTGGAGCAATTACACGCAGGGAGGGCAAGTGCAAGATGCTGGTGACAAGCCTTCCTCGAGCAAGATAGTGTAGTCAACCACAACAGCCGTCAACAAGGAGGCAAGGCCAGGTACCGACCCTCTTGATTGTTTCTTGGATGTGATTTACTCGGTTTTCCTTTGACTGATTGTGAGGACTCTGTGGAGCGAATTGCACTGTCAGTGCTTTCTGTCATATCGCATGCTCAAGTCTTCCACTGTGTTTCTCTCTCCCTGTGCGGTGTGATTCTCCCATCCTCTCCCATTCCTTCTGTGTATGTCTGGGCATACCCGGAAGTCTATGTGAGC